TGGCACAGAAGCTCGCTCCCGGCTCTCCTCAGCCAGGGGGATGGTTGTGCTGAACTGGGGCCTAGAGGGGCAGCGGTAGTAGTTAAGGGAAGAGCAGAGAGCGTGTGGCCCGGGGGGCTCTGAGGACTCTGCTCCTATAAAGGGTGGGCCAGGGCTGGGGTGCAGTGGAGATGGAGCGCTCTGGCTTACGGGCACTCTGATGGGGGCAGCACTTGGCATTGCTGACTAGTGACTTCCTTGGGGTCCCATCCTGTGCTGTTTGGCTGGCACATTGGGGGTGGGGACATAGTAAAGGGAGCAAATATGGCTAATGGGTGGCATCCTCAGGGCTTGGCCAAGGGCTGTGGGACAGGTGGCCATCCCACATGGACCACATGGCTCGCGGTTTGCTGGTGAGTTGCACAGAGTGGAGAACTGGGTGTGAGGAGCAGTGCGAGGAAGGGCAGGTTTGTGCAATGGCTGTGCCTCCTATGAGGAATCTGGGTGATGGAGCCATGAGGAGAGACCCCAGTTCTCTGGAGTAGGCTGCTGGGTTTTCCCAGGGCGTCACCAGCTCTTCAGTGAGTGACGTGGGTGGAGCAGTCCCGGTGAAGGTCACTTATTGGCTGGGGATGACTAGGCCAAGCAGGGGTGGGGCCCATTGACTGTTGTAGTGGGAATTAATATCCTTGTTTCCCTTCTTAGCATGCTCACAACGCCACCGCTATCCCCATCGCTTACCCCTAGGTTTGCAGGGCAGAAATGGCCCCTCAGGCATGTGAGGTTGCACTGAATGGGAGCCGTCACTCAGCACCCTGGGGTCTGCCTGTGGAGAAGCCACCTGACTCCCCATCGCAGCAGGACACCCCCTAAGGAGACACCACTGCACAACTCTGTGGTGGGACAAACTTGTGATCCCGATAGGTGTGATCACGATTCCTGCTGTACCGGTGTGTTGCAATGGGATGGTGCCACCCTGCACCGGCACTGAATAGTGCTGGGATGGGACGTTTTATGGCCTCTGGGCCCTTTGAAGCCATAATCTTTTCAACTTGCACCTGGGCAGCCACCGGAGGTGGGGAGCAGGAACCTCAATATAACATCTCATTGAACGGGTGCAGGCCCACCCCACAGCTAGTGCATTGCAGCGTCCGTGCTGGGAGCGAACCCCAATCCTGCTGTGGCACGGTTGGCGCTAAGAGCTCCTGTCCCTCAGGTGACAGCACTACCTCTCCGGGGCATGTTACAATGCCACCCCCATGGAAGAAGGTTGCTTTCATCAGTGGCCTGTTACAGTGAAACAGAGCAATGCCGGCCTATGGCTGTGGTCGGCTTGGAGGGGTGAAGAGGGAGGGAAGGCAAGAGAGTTCATGATCAAAGCACGCGCTGAACCCCACCTTCCCCTGCCCCGCCTCACTTGTGCAGGTTGAACCACGTCCTTCCTCACCAGGGCAAGGCAGATTCTGGCATTTGGCTGGAGTGACGCTTCCAAACTGGCCGTGAATCCAGCCTCCTTCCCCCACTCCCATTTCCAAAGGCCCCTCAATTCTCTGTGTTTAGCCTGTCCCCTTTCCCCGTCACACGTGCATACACGCACCGGTCCTGGTGCCCAGCCACATTTAGGACCCCTTTGGTTTTGGCTGCGTTAGGTCAAATTTCGCCTCAGTCTATCCATGTGTGGAGAAGCACAGCTCTCCGCTTGGCGAGGGCCCCTGAAGGGCCGTCCCTAGCCATTTGGGTGGCCTACACACAAGCTTGCCAAGCAGGTGCTTGAGGTGGCCACTCCGGAGAGGGGCGGCAGGTCCAGCGACTCGGTGGCAATTCGGCAGACGGTCCCTCACTCCTGCTCGGAGCGAAGGACCTCCCGCCGATTGCGGCTTTTTTTTTTCCCCTCCCCCCCGGGTCTGGGAGGCAGGAGCTGCAGGGTGGCACTTTTGGGGGCCGCACAGGCCCAGAGTGGACCCGGGGGATTAGTGGGGCCGGGAGCAGCCCGCTCCGCTTCCCTCGCCCCGGCCCCAGCCATGTCGCTCAGGGAAGGGGGCTTGGGGGAAGGGATCTCTTCCCCACCCCCACCCCCGCACTCACCGGCAGCGGCGGGAAGCAGAACAGCCCAACCCCAGCCTGCTCTACTCCGCCAGCTGCGTCCCACCACCGGTGAGTCAGGGGCGGGGGGGACCGGGCCCGTTTCCCTAACCCCCCACCCCAGTGACATGGCTGGGACCGGGGCAAAGGAAGCGGAGTGGGCTGGGGTCGCTCCACTTCCCGCTGCCAAGCAAGTGCAGAGGGCATCCTTTCCCCAACCTCCCC